TCTTTGTTTATTGTTTCATCCTGTCGGATCTTGGTTCAGTGTTCACATCTGCCGGTTTTTGTTTTATTGTGTCTTCACGTTGTATCTTTGTTTATTGTTTCATCCTGTCGGATCTTGGTTCAGTGTTCACATCTGCCAGTTTTTCTTTTATTGTGTCTTCATGTTGGATCTTTGTTTATTGTTTCATTCTGTCGGATCTTGGTTCAGTGTTCACATCTGCCGGTTTTTGTTTTATTGTGTCTTCATGTTGGATCTTTGTTTATTGTTTCATTCTGTCGGATCTTGTTTCAGTGTTCATATCATGCCGGTTTTTGTTTTGTTCTGTCTTCATGTTGTATCTTTGTTCATTGTTTCATTCTGTCGGATCTTGTTTCAGTGTTCATATCATGCCGGTTCTTGGTTTAATATTCTTGGCTCAGTGTGTATCCATGAAAGATTATAGTTTGTTATTTGTTCGTGTTAGTTATTTTCTCACATAAAGTGTCACATTTTGAATACAATTGTAATGTCAAAAGTTAGTAATGTTTATGACTATATATTTTAAGGCCTTAGTTCACGTGTCTACTGCTTATTGTCATTGTGACCGTAAAGAAATTGACGAAGTAATTTACCCTCCACCCGTCGATCCTGAGAAGTTCTTGGAAGCAGTGGAGTAAGTACTTATCACGTACTAAAAATCCTTTACAGATCAATATAGTTCAGCACACTCAGAAATTATCATCATTCTCCCAGAGAAGTGAGCTCGTAATGATTCGTCCGAACAGCGCTTATTAAAAAAGTTCCAGTGTACTTGGGATCAAAAATGCATGTGGATGATTATCTATAAGTAGTAACAAACATTGTGAAAAATACTTAAACTAAAGATTGTTTAAAGTTTATAGAAAATAATATTCCTTATTTAAGGCTGACTTTATGTAAGGATGCTTGGTACAGAGCTACAATATCAATAATGATATATTGTATTATTCCTATCAGTGTTTAACTCCTGAAAGGTTGGGTAATAAACTTGGAACAAACAATGGTTATTATATATTTGAATGATAAATTGTCTGCTATAGAGATTAACCTCGCTGTGTGAAGGTTATATCATGCCCAAGTGAATATGTTTTTAAGTCATAACGAACTATCTAAGTTCTGAGCTTATGTTGTGTTCTTCGTGAAAAAAGCTACTTTCATTTTATTAGGTCGTCAAAAAATTAATGTCGCTTTTTTAGATGCAAAAACCCGAACAACTTATATATCAAAATAAAACATTTATTAAATGAAATAGTCTCCATTCTTATCAATGCTGCTTTTCCATCTTACAATCAGGTTGTTAATGCCCTAATTAAAGAAATCACTCGGATTTGAAGCAAAAAAAAACATATCGATGTCCTCTTTAACATCTTCCACATTTGCATACGTTTTCCCATTAAGATGATGTTGCAGCGAACGAAAAAGATGGTAATCTGATGGTACCATATCTGGAGAATATGGTGGGTGGGGAGAATTTCCCAACCCAACTCCATAATCTTGTGTTACGTCAAACGTGCCACATGTGAACGTGCATTGTCGTGGAGAAGAACAACTTTCCGATTGACGAGTGAAGGGCGTTTTTGATGAAGGGCTTGATTTAAACGTCCCAGTTGCTGACTATAGATCTCTGCATTGACAGTTCGCTGTAGATTGAAGAGTTCGAAATGAATACACCTTTGATGTCCCACCAAAGGCAAAGCACCACTTTCTGCGGATGGAGTCCAGGTTTTGGGGTCGTGACAATTCTGCCCAAAAAGGAAAATCACATCTCAGTTACGATAAATTATATATGTATTATTAATATTTACAAATAAATTATGAAATGTGAATCTCTACTAGTTACAATTGTAATGAAGTTTTTACCCACTTGCTATAAACTGCTAAGCCTTGTCAAATTTTTCACGTGGAGGATGTAATACAAAATATATGCATTTTGAAATAAAAATTTTATAAATTACTTTATCAATACCACAGAATCCCACTATAACTTATTAGGCTTAGTAACTGAGATGTGTTTGGGTCTAAAAAAATATAATATGGGAAAACTCCATAAAGAAGGTGTTTTGGTGCCTCACGAACTCTCTGATGATCATCGTTTCTAATGTGTGAACGTTGCTTTGTCTCTTCTGTTGCGTAATACGCGTGAAAATTTTACAAAATACTACTGCACTAGTAGTACAAACTACGACAAATGTACTTTATAAGAGCCAGTTTTTTATGGTGTTGGATATGTTAACATGAGCTGCAACTTCTGTGGTACTATTGTCAGTCAGACACGATTGAAAGGTCAATAAAACCAAAATAATAGATATAAATGGATGTATAGTATTAGGAGATTTTAGCTATTTAGAATAAACATTTGAGATTTCTTGTTACCAATAGCATTCATTCTAGAATGAAAAAAAGGTAATATAAATTTATTTCATAATTTTTTTACAGTGGTTAAAAAGTTGGTCAAATTGACTAACCTTGTATAGAGTCTAGGTAGAGAAAATAATAGATAAATAAAAAAGTTTTTCTAATACAAATGTTTGAAACTTGTTTAGGAGATTACATGAATGAAGCATGAGAATATTCAGATAAACAAAGGTATTTAAGCTTAAAATCAAAATTACTTTGAATGTTGGATAGTCAACATTCCAAAAGAAAATAACCAATCTTTAATTAGAAAATCTTAATACATGACTTAAAAAACCTGATATTTTGTGTACAGAAGGCTTATAATGTTTACTGGTAATCTGTAAAATTTTGTGAACATACGTATACATCATCAAAAATGATAGTATTACCACCGTCATTAATAATTTGGTGGTTGCAGGCTGGGGTGTAATTCACCCAGCTCGTAGTCATAGAGTTAACATATTGATTTAAAACTTGGCGATGTTAAGCTCACTAAATGTTTGTGGAAAATGGATGCTGTTAAGTAATCCGAGTTAGTCTGTGTTAAGTATTCTGTGAACATTTTTCTGTTTCTGAAATTATTATGTTGCTGCAAACTGGATAATAAGAAATGATCTAGTAAGTTCTCGTAAAGTGTAATCACTAATTATTCACTTGGAACTTTAATAAAGACATTTAATAAACTTATTATGTAGATTTAACCACACATAAAGTGTAAACACTAATTATTCACTTGGAATATTAATAAAGACATTTAATAAACTGATTATGTAGATTTAACCACACATAAAGTGTAATCACTAATTATTCACTTGGAACATTAATAAAGACATTTAATAAACTGATTATGTAGATTTAACCACACATAAAGTGTAAGCACTAATTATTCACTTGGAACAGTTAATAAAGACATTTAATAAACTGATTATGTAGATTTAACCACACATAAAGTGTAGCACTAATTATTCACTTGGAACATTAATAAAGACATTTAATAAACTGATTATGTAGATTTAACCACACATAAAGTGTAGC